GAGGAACTGTGACTTCATTTTTGTGTCCCAGGGCTCTGATGCTCCTCATTGAAATTTCAACTAGGCCTAGCAAGACAACACACCTTAGATAACTTGATCTGTAAAAACGACTCTTGCATTTACTGGAGTGCTCAAACTGTGGACAGAGGAARCCATTAGAACAGGTTAGTGGTTTCCTTAAKGAAATATATTAAAGTTTGAAGGAAAATGAACAGGGCTGTTTGCAATCATCTTGCTGCGTGCTCTGTGTACATATGGTTGTGTACTTTGGACACTTCAAAAGGGACGAAAACAGATGAAGCGGTGACCTGGTTTCAGTTCTGTCCCTCTRTTGCAGAGGCTCYTCTGTAGTGTTAGCAGGACTGAAACCTTTTACTTAGGCCTTTCTTTCTTTGGGYGAGGGAGAAGTTGTCATTTATGACAACACTCTTAACAAGGCACAAAGCCAGCAAGGAGGGGGATCCTTGTGCTGATAGCAGGGCGCTCAGACCATCACTACCTCAYGGGATTTACGTGGTCTTGTCACAACCATTTTAAGACAGAGCCCGTTTCTCTCAGTCATCGGAAGCATTTCTGTAGAATTTAGTCAGAAAGGGTCATAACGTGCCAAACTGCAGGACAAAGCTTTCGTTGCTCTGCCAGCTCAGGCTGAATTCCCTAAAGCCCTAGCATTCATCCAGAAGAAATGGTTGGGAGTTGCCCGGTCCAACTGCTGCTGTAACTGCGCCAGATTTGCTGAACTCTAGTGCCTCATACTCTATGTTTACAGCATGCATTGTAGTCGCAGCAAATCAGTCCAAAGATCATCAGCTAAAGGCACAGCACAGATAGCTTAAAAGCAGGCAGCTCTGGTGCTCYTTCTGTTCAGCCCGACAGCTTTCTGCAGAAATGGCTCTGAGGCAAAGCTCTCACCTGCAAGTCGTGGTGCTTCTGCTCCTCTGCGGGCTCCCCTTGGCTGCTGGTGGGAAGCTGCTCGTGGTGCCCGTGGATGGGAGTCATTGGCTCAGCATGC